GTTTAAACTTTATCTAATTTAACTTTATTTAACCAATTTCTAGAAAGTTGCATGTAGATCATTTTTCGAAAAATAAGGCCATAAAGAAGTTTCACTTCTTACGTGTGTACACTAGTACACGCACACATTTTTTTTCCATTATGTACCTGTCAATTGTCCCAAATAAACCAACATCCCGTTTTGAGTAGAAATATAAATGGTCACGTTAGTCATGACATACCTTATCAACGGCAGCTTCTTCATGAAGTCGTCGTGGCCTAAAGGATAAGACGTCTGGTGCATTCGTATGTAGCGATGCACGAATGTGCGAATCCCGCAGGCGGGTACCAATTTTTCAAATGAAATATGTAATTAACAAATGTTCACGATTGACTTCCACGGTGAAGGAATAACATCGTGTAATAAAAATCAAACCCGTAAAATTATAATTTGCGTAATTACTGGGGGTAGGACTAGGAGGATGTGAGTCCGTACGGGTAGGTACCACCACGTGAGGCAGCCGTTGTAACTATACTGAGACCTTAGATCTTAGATTAGATATCTCCTTCTTTAAAAGAGGCTTGTGGAAAGTATTAAGCGGTAGGCAGCGGCTTGGCTCTGCCCCCGGGAATTCCTGAAGCCCATGGGCGACGGTAACCACTCACCATCAGGTGGGCCGTATGCTCGTCAGCATACAAGGGCAAAAAAAAAAAAGGTGGGTGACGCATTTGCTTTGGTACATGTCTATGGGCTCCAGTAACCACTTAACACTAGGTGGGCTATGAGCTCGTCCACCCATCTAAGCAATACAAAATTAAAACATTCTGGTTTTCGGGCTCTGAGAGCACCCGTTCTTATCTCGTATGCGTATCATCTATAAAAGGCGGCATAATTCTACGAACCGCTTAACCTTCTGTTTTCCGGGCTAGGGGCCGAACCTCCTACGAGGTCCCCGCACCTACGGGGCTCGCGGATACGTGGAACTAATCCGCGACTGCGAACCACGGATCCAAAGATGTTTTTAGAGCCGTTTAAACTGACGCAATTGTTTTTTAACACAGTAATCTGTAACTAAAACTAACCTGTATCCTTCCGAACGTTAGCTAACATACGTAATATTAACCACTTACTACAATACTGTGCGTTTAAGCAGTCGTAAAACCCTGCGGTTCGCGGAGAACGGCGTAATTAAATACATAATAACGTAATATTAAGCGAGTAGAAATCTAACAGCTAGGTAATAACAGTTACAATGATTTAGTAACAGCTACCAGCACGGGTAATTGTGAGATCGTATTAGAAAATTACCAGGAACGGTCTAACTAAGAGATTTATACATCATTTAATGGTAGTAGGACGTTTCGTGAGCCCGCACAACTAGATATCGCCATGCCGTCTATTTCTGCTGTGAAACATTAATGCGTTTCGGTTTGAATAGATTTTTGGAACGAAGTTCCTTACGGCAGGCTTGGAGGAAATAGGGATTTTGCTGCGCGACCGACTGAAAAAAGTTTCATAGTAAAAACCGTAAGAAAAAGTCCGTGGAATAAGGCCTTGTTTTCCGCACAGCGATATTTCACAGCGATATTTGTAATTCTTTTTTTTTTATATGGAACTTCTTCCTATCCGGTGTCCCACGATACCACACATCTTTTTTTTTCACCCACCTATGCTGATAGCCTTGAGAGACTATTTCAGCTTCTCCTTACCAACCCGGGCCTAAACCGGGCGTGTTACTAACACTAGCCCTAGTAAGAGCAGTGCTTCGCAGAATCTACCGCCGGATCGGAAACGCAATCTACTGAGAAGATCCGGCGAGAAACTCAGTGGGCTGTGTCTATGAGTTAATTTACTCGTCGAGCCCTTCGTCGCAAGCGACGGGTTCGGCGAGAACGGTGACCGGATTGAATAGATGAGGCTGCCGTTGTATTATAGAAATGAGATATACCACTCAACGTTTCAAGGTGTGTGGTGGTATTTGCGTTGTTAATATTTATTGACTTTGGTAACCAAAGAACATTAGGTGAGCCGGTTCAGCCAACTAAACAAAAAATAAACTGTCCTGTGAGAGATTCACAATCTGGTATCGCCATCGCCCGAAACATGTCTTGTCGGATGCTCCGGATCCACTCTTAGCGCTCTTCAAGCACCAGTCACCGTCCTAGGTCCTACGACGTGCGAACTAGCCTATAGACACAACCCGCTACGTTTCTCACCGGATAATCTCAGTGGGTCGCGATTTCGATCCGGTAGTAGATTCGATGAAGCATTTCTCTTGCTAGGGCTAGTATTAGCAATTCTCTCAGGTTGAGCCCGTGAGCTCACCTATTGGTCCGCGCGAAGTTGAAATAACCCTTTAGGCTACCAACGATTCAGTGGGGGGAAAAAGAAGTCACCAAAATTAAGACACAAAGTCCATGTTTGAGTAAAGGTGCTACGACATGGGTGCAATAAATTCAATGTTTGTTTTATAGCGGTTGATAGAGAACGGCCCTTCGAAACGATAACATTTACTTTTACTAATCTTACTACTCTACAATAATAAATCTTAATCATCATAAAAATCAGAAACAGTCCGAAGTCTAATTATATTATTGAATCCTCGGTCTGAGTCGTACCTGGTTCAGAGATTATCCATTGCCATACAGCGTGGCAATGCTGCTAGCGTAATGGGTACTTTCGGGCCGGGTGCGATCCAGAGTGGCTTGTTTGACTAGCCGATGCCTACGCGCGCATTGCTGTTAGCGTGGACCTTTATGTTACTTATGACGACGCTTGCAGCTGAAAGTAAGTATTGTACTTTTTGACGAAGCATGTTGCTGATAACTCTATTTCTGTAATCTGACGAAGCATGCTGCGGATAATAACATGTACTTTTAGGTTAGGAATATTGTGTTCTTTTTTGTATAATAAAAAATATATTTTTTTATTGAAATACTAGCTACTCGATTAAAGTAGAATACTACCAAAGCGGAAAGCGTAATTAATTACTTGGCAGAATCATCGAGCCGATATAATTGTTACTTTTTGCCCATACGTAACTAGGATAGGGCTTACATAAAGACAAACTCGTTGGCGACATACCTATATGCTCTACTCAAGTTTTTCTGCGAGATACATACAGCCTACTTCCTGCGTCTTACCTCCTAGACAAGATTACGTAAATATTGTACCTATTTAGTTTCATTACATCATCTAGTACTATGGTATATTAGTTATTAAACTTTTACTTTATAATCAGATTAAAAAGTAATAAGCCGATTATTATAATGAGTGAATCAAAAAATAGCTCGGCGTTTAAGTTTATTGATCCATTTCATCAATTTTTTTTTATATTAAACTCCGTCTTTAATTAAAACATAGTGACATGCATTAGTTCTATTATGTTTACATATGGAAATAAAACTTAGAACAGCACTAGGCCTAACAGATATTGCTACCAAAAAAAAAACATTTCATTTTCTGCGAAAATTGCAGGTCATTTTTGTGTTATGCTTTTCTGACGCTATCTCTTTGTAGTCCGTTACGATTTTCTGTTCTGAACTATACACACCACATACGTATTTGATCGTTAACATCATTACATCGTTTGTGATGCAAATGACGAACCGTGCGTGAATTTTTTATTTCATGAATATTCATTCGTTTAGGTTGATGACGCTTGGGATCGAATTTTGCCCCGGTGAAGGGGTTTTTTAATAATATATCATTAACGTCTGTCCTGACTGCTGTCCATACCTATGTCACCGCCATAGATTTCCGTATCTCTGACCTTTGTGAAGTGTTTTGATTTGGTTAACTGGTTTTGCTACGTTGTGTTTCAACTATGAAGAGACTTGTAGACATCGGTAATGCAGACAAGCCTTTGTACTTCTTCTAAACTCATTCAAACATAACGCTGGGGAATCAGCGGTGCGGCATGATATCTCACTTATTATGGCCAACAGGCTCGACTAGACTCACCCAGTAGTCAATCATCGTCGACGTCTAAGACAGACATGTCATTGCAAATCCTTCTCATCCAGACAGACATCTCATTGCAAATCCTTCTCATCCACTCTCGGTGTTGTTAGACGCTACTAGTACTTTCAGCAGCAACCAAAGTACCAGTCGCCGTACTCATCGCAGAGTTATACTTAGTGACGTCTCATTTACCCCATAGCATCAGCGCTCTGAGTTTCTTGCCGGATTTTCTCGACAGATCGCAATTCTGATCCAATGGCAGATTGGACGACGCGGCTGCCTTTGAATTGTTAGGTCAATTTTGGAAGGTCTTCAAGTAGTGCAGAGCAGCAGGCCCCCTCCTCCCGGCTGAGCTCCCGAGTTCGTCCACTCGTCTTAGTTAACGGCAAGATCTCCAAGCCTGACAGTTTTTCGGTTTAACAAACAAACCGCTGTAGATTCTTCATCCGGACGACTTTATATACTTTTAAGCATAAATTTAATACGAATTTTATCATCAGGCATGCAACCCTAAAACCGATAGTCCTTAGTCGATCCAGTATTAAGGACACGTTGCAAGTTCCTTTGCATTCGTTTTGCGCACTTTTTATTGTCACGATCAACGCGTTACGCTATCTTATAGATATATCCTTTGTTCGTAATGGTTTCAAGCACAATCCATGTAAATGGTAGTAGTATAAATGCTAGTTGATCAATCGAAATAAAGCTAAACGGATAGATATGTACATGCAAAAGTATTATATTTTTCTAATAAATCTTGCCACTAAACATCAAAATATTTAGCCATCTTTACGTTTTAATCTCGCTTTTATTATTTTCATTTAACTTTTTCCGAAATTTCAAATACTTTACAGCATCCGTGGTGCTTCATCACGGATGACCGAAATAATACAATGAAAATAAGAAACGCGAAATTAAACCTTACAGCTACTTTATATATGGCTCCGACTCGCGAAGCAGAAAGAAATATAAATAAATACAAATAAAGAAATATTAAAAATATCCAATGACAGAAATGAATTTATAAACAATGGAATTAAAAACATAAGTGAACTTACCCAAAATTTCCAGGGTAACAAATCGGATATCGACGGCACGCGTGACCTTTGCCGCTGTAGTGATGTCCACCGTTGAAGATGACCTCCGAACAGCATGGGGAAGAGCACCTTCCGCTGTCGCACTCCGAGCTGCAGTAGGACCTCGACATCTCACTCCCGTGCCAGTACTCATCACACGGCAAATGGTAGCGCCACTCGGGACTCTGCGCTCGATAGCTGAACCTTCGATCCCAAGGCACCAGTTCCGTGCAACGTTCCACATAAGCACCGGCTAATTGCTCCATATATTGCTTGTAAAGTCTCTTCTGCCGCTGATTCTGCGATACGTGCAGACGCAAAACGTTTAAAAAACACATCGCGGTGATGTTACTATACCACCGGCCGTCCGCACCAGGCGCGTAAGAATCATAAACTAGACTGTCAAAATTACCGGACGCAACGCTCGCTCAGGAATCTCAGAGAAAACAGATAATTTTTCATGTCGCATCACTGACGTTGCGCTAACGAAGAATTCCGACAACATAACCGATACGATTTCCCGTTTGCTGTTGTTATCGATACAATCGATTCTAAACGTTATTTCTATCTGTGAGCTTTCACGCTGAAAGTTGACGATGAAATAATCTATTAACTAGCAAGTCTCGTGAACGAGAGAACAGCGAAGTAAACAGTTTTATGTTATTCGTTTTAAATTTAACGGTCGAACGAACAGGCTTGGTCGCGGTAGTTCGAGCGTCGCGGCGTCTTTGAGTGAACTGCAAGACGCGGTCACGGTAACGCCATAACTGCTCCGCGTCTATTTAACTAGCATTTCCTCGAGAGGTGAAAAAAAACGTAGCAAATTACGTAGAAAATGTGACTGCGGTGCGTTTGCTTACGAACCATAAAACTGACGTTTGAGTTCGAATAGAACGAAACTCAAAAATAAAATATAGATTAAAAAATTATTGTTATATTAAATGGAATAACAAACTATTGGGTGATGGTGTTTATTAATGTAATTCCTCGAGCGTAATAAACGCCATAACTTTAACATTGTCACCATAACCACGTCATTTCCCATGTCCACTGAGTTTCCCGAAGAATCTTCTCAGTGGGTCGCGATTCGTATCTGGTATTCTTCGAAACACTGCTCTTGCTAGGGGTAGTTTTTTTTTGTTTTTTTTATTGCTTATACGGGTGGACGAGCTCACAGCGCACCTGGTGTTAAGTGGTATTGGAGCCTATAGACATCTACATCGTAAATGCGCCACCTACCTTGAGATATAAGTTCTTAGGTCTCAAGCATAGTTACAATAGCTGCCCCACCCTTCAAACCGAAACTCTTTACTGCTTCACGGCAGAAATAGGCAGGGTGGTGGTACCTACCTATGCAGACTCACAAGACGCCCTACCACCAGTAATTACGCAAATTATAATTTTGCGGGTTTGTTTTTTATTACACGGTGTTATTCCTTCACCGTGGAAGTCAATCGTGAACATTTGTTGAATATGTATTTCATTAGAAAAATCCGTACCCGCCTGGGATTCGAACACCAGTGCATCGCTCGCACGAATGCACCGGACTTCTTATCCTTTAGGCAAATATTTTAAGTGTATAATCTATGACTACGACTAGTGCTAGCAACGTCCTCTGTTTAGAGCCCCGTGCGCTTAGCTACTCGTTCGCTTACGCTGGCATGGTCTTCTAAGGCTACCAGCTTAGTTCGACCCGGTAGTCAGCGAACCATTTCTCTTGCTAGAGCTAGTGTTCGCAATTCTCTCAGGTTGAGCCCGTGAGCTCACCTATTGATCCGCGCGAATTTGGAATAGCCCCTTAGCCTACCAATGATTCAGTAGGAAAAAAGAAGTCACCAAAATTAAGATACAAAGTCCATGCTTGAGGAAAGGTGCAACGACGTGGATGCAATAGATTCGTTGTTTATTGTATAGCGGTTGATAAAGAATGATCTTTCGAAACGATAACATTTACTTTTACTAATATATTTGATACTACTAGCAATAATAAATCATAATGATCATAAAAATCAGCGTACCCGCGTTGTTAGACGGGGATAGCCCTTACTATGAGACACAAAATCTGCTAGACGAAGTCTGTGCATGGGAAAACGTCTCTTTCGGCCTGGTTGTCAGATTTGTTCAATTTAGATTCCGGAGATACTAATTACTAAATGCATCAAATGCTATTAGTACTACCTTAAGATATGAATAACGTTTTGACTACGAGAACATGGCACAATTTATGGTAAAGCTCATTTGAAAATTAATGATCTATATTTTTATAACTTATCTTTATTTTAAACTAGCGGCCCGCTCCGGCTCCGCTCGGGTCTTTAACAAAAATTTCAATGATATTTGACGTTGTTTTTTTTATCTTTTTATTGCTTACATGGGTGGACGAGCTCAAAGCCCACCTGGTGTTAAGTGGTTACTGGAACCTACAGACATCTACAACGTAAATGCGCCACCCACCTTGAGATATAAGTTCTAAGGTCTCAGTATAGTTACAACGGCTACTCCACCCTTCGAACCGAAACGCATTAGAGCTTCACGGCGGAAATACATTACATATCGGTTACATTATTGGAGTTTTAGTAAGGATCCCAAATTTTTTTTTAAAAAGATTGTAGCCTATGTCACGGGAATGGTGTAGCTTTCAAACAGTGAAAGAATTTTTCGAATCGTTTCAGTAGTTTCAGAGCCTATTCAATACAAACAAACAAACAAATATTTCCTCTTTATAATATTAGTGTAGAAGTATAGATTAGATACTTACAGTACGACTTTAAATGAATCAGACAAACTCAGTCTGTTAATTTTTTTTTACTGTAATTTTTTTTTTTTTATATTTTAGATATTTAATTATTATAAGAAAAAAGAACAATATTCCTAACCTAAAAGTACATGTTATTATCCGCAACACGCTTCGTCAGATTACAGAAATAGAGTTATCAGCAACATGCTTCGTCAAAAATCTCTGTCTGTTAAATTGACTTTTTGTGATGTCTTTTTTGCCAGTGTTTAGTTTATAAAAATCTTCAACTAATACATACCTACATTTCATTCGGTTATATAAAAAATTATATGAAGCGAAATGAATTTGAGAAAATGGAAACTGTAAACAAACGAGACAAGAAGGGATGAAATAAAGTTACAGTAAATTTGTTTTTTTTTATTGCCCTTGTAGACAGAGTAGGGTAGAGAGTAAATTGGTTACCGTACTTACCATTGCCCATGGACTTCAACAACGCCAGGGGCAGAGCGAAGCCGCTGCCTACCGAATTATTTTCCTTTTCCCACATTTATGCACGTTCAACAATGTTAAGCAGTTAATAAACTAACATTAATACACGTTTAAAACTGAAGAAACACATAATTAACTACATATAACAGTTTGTACAAACAACTTCGCTCCTCTTGTTACCGCCCAAAAGACATCTCAGTCATTAACTAAGCAGCCGGTACTCCTTTGCATGTTTTTGACACCCGTTGACACTATTTGACAAGAGATTGTTTTTGTTTTGTAAATAAACCTACGTAATACCGTACTTGTGCACTAAATTTGAAATAATTTACTCAAAGAAAAGTTTGCTATGATTTATGAGTACAACTATAATTCACTATGATGTTATTAAAATCACATATTGAAGATACTACAAATGGAATTATCACGAATTGAAAAATTTGATATAAAATTAAAATCCAAACCAAAGGATGGAGTTATACTTCAATTGCATCACACCGTGCGAAGTTCCAGTGGAGAAAGTCATCGCATTAGATTCACGAGGGGCGCGTTCAGTGATAATAATGAGAAACTAGCTTGTAGCGATACCGCTGGTAATGTTTTCATTATCGATTTTTCTGATCTAAAATTCTGGAAGCTAAACGGCGTAGGCCCGTGTACTTGCCTTCAGTTCGAAAATAGCAAACACGACAATTTAGTGGTAGCCGCCTCTAAAAATTTTGAGATAAATTTTTTTGATATTGAAACTGGAAAATCAAATATTACCCTCAACGGACACACAAACACTGTAAAACATATTTCTTTCTCAAATAAAAAGGCCAATAATCTTCTCACGGCTAGTCAAGCAGAAGCTATTCTGTGGGAAATGTCTAACTTCACTAAATATTTTACTTTGAATACATTTGTGGGTGCACAAATACAGGAGATCATGTTCACTCCCGGAGGTGACTATTTAGTAGCTTGCTTCAAGAATGACACCATACAAATATGGAAGAACGAGACCATGAAATCGGTCAAGCAGATAATACCAAGTGAATTAAAGCATATGAAAAGTATTGCTTTCACAATGAATGGTCGAGCAATGGCTATGGCTGGGCTCAGTCCTGTACTTATTTTATTCAATATGGATACATGGACTACAATTAAATCAATCAATATGACAAAATACAATATTCTTGGTGCACATCAGGTTGCATTCATTCCACAGGTATTTGATGGTGGTGCCAATAAGATTCTGGCTATCCTCAATAGTGTCTGCACGTTGAGCTTCTTAAATCTAGAAACCTTAGGAATTATATACACAATAAAACTAGATTCATCTGGCATTAAAAGATTTGCAGTCAGTCAAACTGGAAAATATTTCTTGTGTATTTTGGAATTAGGAGAAGTGAACATCTATAATTCGTCTCAAGTCTTAGAGACGGTTCCTAATAAAACTATAAAGACTGAAAAGAGAGAGATTCCATGTATTTCCTGCGTCAAGTCATTGTCACCAAAGCATTCAATTTCAAAGTCTAAAATAGAACAAAAAATGCGAACATGCATGGACAGCGCTAGATTAAGAAGGATATTAATGCAGTACGGAGAATATCCTGATAAGTTCAGATCTGTCATTTGGAGGTCACTCCTCAATACACCTAGAAACAGAACTGCCTATTCAGCTTTAGTCGATAAAGGTATTCATCCGTCTTATAGGAATATAGAGGAACAATTCACAATACATAGTTCTACGACACTTAAAAATTTGAAGCGATTACTATCATGTCTCGCCCACTGGTGTCCACTATTTGGGGTTATAAAATTCCTGCCGGGCTTTGTCTTCCCGTTTGTAAAAGTGCTGCAAAAAGATCCTCTTTTATTATTTGAATGTGTAGCCACCATACTCTTGAATTACTGCCAATTGTGGTTTGAGTATGCACCTTTCCCACCTATTAGCGTTCTAGCTATGATCGAGAATACTTTAGCAGAACATGATCCACAACTCTTGAAACATTTTTGTGAAACAGGTGTGACGAGCCAAACTTATGCACTCCAAATATTAGAAACTGCATTCAGTGAAGTGCTGACTTGCACTGAGTGGCTAATACTCTGGGATCACATTCTCAGCAATGAACCGTCTTTTATTCTCATGGCTGTTGTCTCATACAACATAGTGCAGAGAAACGCCATC